ATACAGCACTCTACTACACACATTCATGCAGTTTTCTATACACATTCATACAGCACTCTACTACACACACATTCATACAGCACTCTATCACACACACAGTTGAACAACAGTCTACTACACACTGTCAGAGATCTTATGGCAGAAGATCCTACACACAGACTCAGAAAGGTTTTTAAAATGTTTATTGAATAAATAAACAGCTTCTGGTGTCTCAGGTCCAGGTGCAGGAACTGTATCTAAAATGATACAGAGGCAAAAGATTAGTGTTTGACAGAATAACGAGTAGTTATCTGAATTCGGACGATCTGATGAAACACTAACCTTTCTTATTGTAATGGGGCGCTCCTGCGGAGACACAGAGCTGCAAAGACCAAGGGACATCCAGGGACGTATTCAAGGATGAGCAGGGTTCATACATGGGATCAGAAGAGGAGACAGTACCGATAGGGAGAGGCAAAGGCGAAATCCAAAAACAGGCGTAGGTCGTCAACAAGGTCAGAAGGCTGAGGCACAAAAGGGTCAGGCAAAAAGCGTTGGTTGAGTGAAACAGGCGTGGATCAAGATTAAAGAGCTGTGAACAAAGTGAGTACACTGGATAACTGTGGCTGGAAGCAAGCAGTTGATCTGGCAATGTAGTGGAGAAAGCAGGAAGTATATATACACCCAGAAACAGGTGGAAACCATCAGCAGAATCAGAGAAAGAGAGGCGTGGCATGTAAAGAGGCTGGGGGAAGCAGCAGAGGAAAAACCCAGGAGAGCAGAGAAGAAAAAGTCAAATGGTGAACAGATTGATGAGAAAATGAAAAAACAGTGTAAACTTTGACAGATCCCCCCTTAAGGCACAACACCTGACGCGCCCCGAGGTTGGTGCGGGTGAAGGCGATGGAAGTCCCTAATGAGGGACTTGTCGATGATATGACGGGAGGGTACCCAAGAACGTTCTTCTGGGCCGTTTCATTCAGCACTCTACTACACACATATACACAGAACTCTACTACACACACACATTCATTCATGACTCTACTACACACACATTCATACAAGATTCTACTACACACAGTCATTCAGCACTTTATTACACACATTCATACAGCACTCTACTACACACACATTCATACAGCACTCTACTACACACACATTCATAAAGCTTTCTACTAAAGTCACATTCATACAGCACACTACTAGACACATTCATACAACCCTCTACTACACACATTCATACATCACTCTTCTACACACACATTCATACAGCACTCTACTACACACATTCATACAGCACTCTGATACACACACGCTGATACAGCACTCTTCTACACACATTCATACAGCTTTCTACTACACAAACATTCGTACAACACTATACTACACACACATTCGTACAACATTCTACTACACACACATTCGTACTACTCTCTACTACACACATATTCATACAGCAGTCTACTACACACACATTCATACAGCTTTCTACTGCACACATTCATACAACACTACTACACACATTCATACAGCACTCTTCTACACACATTCATACAGCTTTCTACTACACACACATTCATACAGCTTTCTATTACACATACATTCCTACAGCACTCTACTACACACACATTCATACAGCTTTCTACTACACACATTCATACAACACTCTACTACACACATTCATACAGCACTGTACTACACACATTCATACAGCTTTCTACTACACCCACATTCGTATAACACTCTACAACACACACATTTGTACAACTCTCTACTACACACACATACATACAGCACTCTATTACACACACTTTCATAAAGCTTTCTACTAAAGTCACATTCATACAGCACACTACTACACACATTCATACAACACTCTTCTACACACACATTCATACAGCTTTCTATTAAACACACATTCATACAACACTCTACTACACACATTCATACAGCACTCTACTACACATTCATACCGCACTCTTCTACACACATTCATACAGCTTTCTACTACACACACATTTGTACAACTCTCTACTACACACACACACACATACATACAGCACTCTTCTACACACACATTCATACAGTTTTCTATTACACACACATTCATACAGCACTCTACTACACACACATTCATACAGCTCTCCACTAGACACACATTCATACAGCTTTCTACTACACACACATTTGTACAATACTCTACTACACACACATTCGTACAACATTCTACTACACACACATTCGTACAACTCTCTACTACACACACATTCATACAGTTTTCTACTAGACACACATTCATACAGCAATCTACCTCATACACATTCATAAAGCACTCTACTACACACATTCATACAGCTTTCTACTTCACACACATTCATACAGCACTCTACTACACACATTCATACAGCTTTCTACTACACACACATTCATACAGAACTCTACTACACACATTCATCTATCTTTCTACTACACTCATTCATACAGCACTCTACTACACACATTCATACAGCGTTTTACTACACAATCATTCGTACAGCACTCTACTACACACACATTTGTATAACATTCTACTACCTACACATTCGTTCAACACTCTACTACACACACATACATACAGCACGCTACTACACACACATTCATACAGCACTCTACTACACACATTCATACAGTTTTCTACTAGACACACATTCATACAGAACTCTACTACACACATTCATACAGCACTCTACTACACACATTCATACAGTTTTCTACTAGACACACATTCATACAGAACTCTACTACAGACACATTCATACGGCACTCTACTTCACACACATTCATACAGCACTCTACTTCACACACATTCATACAGCACTCTACTTAACACACATTCATACAGCACTCTACTTCACACATATTCATACAGCACTCTACTTCACACACATTCATACAGCACTCTACTTAACACACATTCATACAGCACTCTACTTCACACATATTCATACAGCACTCTACTTCACACACATTCATACAGCACTCTACTACACACATTCATACAGCTTTCTACTAC